TGCAGCTGCAGGATAGAAGATGAAGGAAAAAAAGCTTTTCCTATGTTTAGGCAAAAATTTATGAAGAAATGGCTTTGTCTGAATGTGGTCCAGTTATTTGATGCCACAAAAGGGAAGGGAAAATTTTGTGAAATGTCCTATTTACTTCCTGCAGGAATTTTTATTTAACACAGCAGCACAGTCAGTCCAATCCATCAAATCAATCTGCCTGAACACAGAACTGGGAGAGATTTCAGTCAATTTGGAACTATTCTGGATTTGATTCTTTCAGTTAAGTATTACAGAAAAAAATTGGCCCTTTGAGACTTGGCATTATACACCCATCAAAACCAGGAAAAACCCTGCGAATGTCACTTAAGTAGCTACACAAGTTATCTGCAATTTTCAGTGCCAACAACTGGAAAAAGACATTTTGTCTACTTTTGAGCTTGCTGCAGATATCCTTGTGATCTTTTATGCAGCAAAAATCAAAGGCACATTCAATAATAATTGTGATGGGGAAGACCTGCTTAATTATTAAGTATTTATATTATATTAGTGAACTGAGGTTTCATCAGGAAATCTGGCCTTTACCACCACGGTTACTGTGGGTACATAAAATAAAAGGCTGTACGCTAACTGATGTTCAAATAATTTTACTTGTAGCACAGAAATAATGTTGGTCTTTGCTCTGTTCATTTGTTGTAGCCATTGGTGCTGACAAGACATCAGAGGACCCACCATCTCCCATATCTATGGCATTTGCACCTCCTAGAAATATGGATGGCCCCAAGCTACAGACCAAGATGAGCACGTGGACTCCGCTGAACCATCAACTCATGAATGGCAAGGCAAGTTCTGCACAAATGGGTGAAATTCATAGAATCACAGAATTGTTGAGGTTGGAAGGGACTCGTGGAGATCATCTAGTCCAAGCCCTCATGGCAGAGTCAGGTAAAGCCCTTGCTCAGGATCTTGTCCAGTCGGGTTTTGAAGATTCTCAAATCCCAAGACAAATTCTAAGGTTTGCTTCACAAATTCTCCAGTCCTAGAAAAATTTAACTTATGTTTTTGCCTGTGTAGCTCATGAGTAATGCAATAAGAACTTAAAGATCTTGTTTACTGTTAGAAGTATGTATATATCAAACACACGTGCAGTCTTTATTATGTATATGTATATATAAATCCTAGTATGTTATGAAAAAACTGAAGGTTCTAATGTACATTGTTGAAAGCATACAAGTATTTAGTTTGAGTATTGTTATTTTGCCAAGTCAGTTGTCTTTAAACAAAAAATGTGTATTCGTTTCTTAGTAAAAGGTGCCAAATCATTCTTTTTCTGTCCCAGAAGACTTTGGTTTAACCCCACAACAAACTGAGTGTCAGTTTAAGATTCCGAGTGTCTGGTGTGCTCCATCTCAGCTCGTAGGAAAGGCTTTTGTACCCATGCCCTGGCTTCTCTGCTCAGCCTAGCAGTGATGAGGCTAGCTTGATATTCTGGAAACTGAAATGATGCACTCAATTTATAAATAACGAGATGCATTTCCTAACCTCCCACTCTGTATACTAAATCTGGGATCTGCTAACGTAACTGAGGGGTTTTTGGCTCATATATCACTGGGAACATATTTCCTCCCTCAGAATTCAGTTTAAATTTCTGTCGGTGATTCATAGAATTTAATCCAGAGTGGGCCATTACGTCATGTAGTCTGGCTTCCGAGATTTCTTGGGCCCTCTTGTTTCACACAGTTCTCCCAGTCTTAATCTCAGTAACTAGAATTTGGCTAAAATATATCTTCCACAAAGGTATCCAGACTTCCTTTGGGGTTATCAAGAAATGAAAATTTCATCACTTCCTTAATAATTTTCTCATGATTAATCCCCTATACCATGAAAAGATGAAACCTTGTCTCCTGTCTGAATACCTCTAGCATTAACTTCCATCATTTAAATCTTCCCCCGCTAGCTTATTAAACTCTTCTGTAACCAGTATTTTTTCCTTGTGGAAGGACTTTTACTCTGCTTCAAGCCAACCCTTGAACTTTTTTTTGATAAACTAAACAGATTGAGCTCTTTGAAGTCCTTTCAATCTGGCATATTCTCCAGCCTTTGAATCATTTTAATGTCTGTTTCCTACACCCTTTGAAACATATTTTTACAGATGCACATCACTGTGCAATAAAGTATGACCTAACTAGAAATAAGTACGTGGGTAGAACCACCCTTTCCCACCTTCTTACTCCTCTGCTCCTTAGGCAGATGCTGTATTGGGCTGCAGCAAAACTTTTAGGAGCTCACACTGGATTGTTGTGTATTCCCAACTCTTAACGATGTTCCAGGTAGGAAACAACCTACCATAAGCTCCCAGACCTGTGCTTAGTGATGAAATTAATGATCAAAAGTGTTTGCTTGTTTCTGATCCACGTTTTAAAGCACTGACCTCCATGAAACTCCTTTTCATATATCACTATACTGCCCTGTAGTGTTAGCAGAAAGAAAATAGTTGCAACAAAAATACTGGTGACAGCTGAAATCACGAGATAATCCAATTGATATATATAAGGAGCTAATGAATGAGACGGCGCCATTGTCATACAATCGTATCTCTGTTCATTTCTGCAATCTTGAGTTAAGAGAAAGCATGAAGAGAGAGCAGGAGTTATAGATAAAAGTTACATGAAAAATAGTGAGAAGACGAAAGCATAGAGAAGAGATGGGTGAGAGGAGTACTTGTTAGTGGGATGGGCAATGAAGGGCAGGAGTGGTGGGAATTCAGAGCTGATCCAAGGCAGAAGTGTTTAAGCTCCATCTAAACCATTGTTAGGAGCAGACTCAAGAACAGGTGGTAGCATAAATTTGCCACCTAATTTTGGCTAATCCTGGGGGTACTCCATTAGTAGTTCTTGTAGATTTCCCTGGATTTTCAGACATGCTTAAGAGTACGTTTGTCTGCAATGTTGGCAGGACCCAGCTCTCTCCTGCCTATTGTCCATCGCGAGTCTTGGAGCCTCCATCTATGGTTTTATGGCCTTACAGCAGCTGTCAGAGCAGAAAGTACTATCCAGGGTGTTACTACTGGGACACAGGACAGTCATGATTGTTTTAAAGCCAGGATCACCATCAGGGCCAGATAAAAGTCAAGAAGCCAGAATTAGGAAACCTCAAATTATGCAGCATTCATGGTGAGAAAACCAGAGGTGGAGTCTTAGATATGCCAAGGTTGTGCTACAGCTAATGATGAAGTAAAGGTAGGAGACGTGGCAGCCTGCTCACTTGCAGCAAAAACAGATAGACTTGAGCGTCAGTCCTGCTGACTGCAGGGCTGTGCTGCCTTTAAGGAAGGACTGGAAGTTGGGAGATGATTTGTCTTCTGCTGGGCAGTGATTCAGTCGTGGGGTAGAAGAGCCCCCAGCGGCATTTGCAGCAAGGGCTGGAGGGATTTGCCAGGCAGCCTTGAACTTGAGCTTATTTAAAACCACCTGAAGCCATGGATGTGAGATGGCAGGTCTCAGGAGCAACCTAGGCTTCAGGCTGCATCCAAAGCCAGCCAGCTTCGGTGTACTATAGGTATAAATCCAAGGCCTTGAAGGAGAGGGCAGTAAACATGGGCTTGATTAAGGTAGTGGATGATTATACCAATTTTGGGCCATTCTGTTGCTAATTAATGCTTCCAAGTGCCTGGAGTAGGCGGAACTTTCTGACAGAGTTGGCTCAGATGTATCTCCAAGAATGCTGAAAGCAAATATGTGTCTTTCTTTGATCAAAGACCATTAACATTGCTTTCGGTTATATAAATAGCTCTTTGCTTCACTTGAATTATCCAACCCAAAACTTAGGTCTTTGACTATTCATCACTTGCTTGTGGCAAATCCTTTTTCAGGTTCAGCTTGTTAAGGTGTTTTGGTTTTTTTGTACTTCGCCAAGTGTCCCACATGCAAATAAAGCAAATAATAACTGTCAACATACAAAGAAAAGAAATGACATTTTCCACCCTTCACAAGTGACACTCCTGCTGAGAGAGACAGAGCTAACGCTGTCAACGGCTGTACCAGACATCAGCACTGATAATGTCTTTCTCTGCAGGAACCTTCTTCGCAGGCTGTCATAGCAGTAACACGTTTGGAGTTTATAATGATCAAGCATGTTTTCCTAGTCGTGGTTAATGGCTGGTTTTATCTGCAGTTATAAGCTGGGCTTTTTCCTCTTTGATCTGTCTTCTGGAAAAATCATCTACAGCATTTCCTCACTTCCCAGGTCACAATCCTGAGCATAGAAGGCAGTTTTGTGGTAGTGGGAAGCCACGTGCTAGTGCTTTCAGGTCTAGCTCCCTATGGATAAAGGTCAGCATCATAAATCCTCCGCTGTATTTTGATACTGATCATCCTTCTTGTTAGTTGCCACTGTAAAGTGGCTAGGGAACAAAAGCTGGTCTTATTATCTTATTCCTAAGGGTCTTGCTGTGTTAATATTGCCAGGGCTGTATGATAGCTACTCATGTTGTATCCATTCTAGGAGATTTTAGGCACCCAGTGTCTCCAACTCAGGAGAAATGAAATTTCTAAAATAAGAGGTGGGAAGCCCAGCTTCTGGTCTCACCAAAGCATGTGAGACACCATGCATCACTGTATGCCCAAGAGAGCAGAGCACTAAGCTGGCATATCGTGCGTGCAGCAGCTGCAGAGAAGAACTGGAGATGATAAGTAGCACATTGGAGCCAGTCTACAGAGCTGTCCTGCACAGTTGTGCACACATAGCCCTTGAACTGTAGGGAGTCTTCTTCAGTGAAAGGAACCTTCCACAGGAATCAGCCTGTAGAGTTGAAGAAGATCAGGAAAAAGTAGACAAGGCCTTCCTCAGGCAACTGGAAAAAGCCTTATGTTCACAGGTTTTGGTCCTCATGGGGAACATTGACCACCCTGATATCTCCTGGAAGGGCAATGCAGCAGGGCACATGCAATCCAGGAGGTTTCAGGAGTGCATTGATGATAACTTCCTGACACAGGTCATCAAGGAACCAAAAAGGGAAGATGCTCAGCTGGACTTCATACTTACAAAGAACAAAGGACTGGTTGGAGATGTGAAGGTCAGGGACAATGTTGGCAGCAGTGACTAGAAGATGATGGAGTTCAGGATACCAAGAGGAAAGAGCAAGACAAATAGCAGGATCACAACCCTGTATTTCAAGAGAGCAGACTTTGATGTCTTCAGGGATCTATGCAGAAGAATCACATGGGATGTGGTACTGGAGAGAAGAGAGGTCCAAGAAAACTCATTTTTAGACCTTAGTAAGCCTTTCAATACTGTCTACCATAACATCCTCATAGACAAGCTGATGAAGTATGAATGGAGAGTGAGGTGGGCTGAAAACTAACTGACTTACTGGCCTCAAAGGATTGTGATCAGCAGCATAAAGTTCAGCTGGAGGCCAGTCACTAGTGGAGTACACCAAGGGTCAACATCAGGGCCAAGATTGTTTAAAATCTTCATTAACAAGTTGGATGATGGAGCAGAGTGCTCCCTCAGCAAGTTTGCAGACGATATAGAATTGGGAGGAGTAGATGATAGACCAGACGTTTATGCTCTCATAAATCATAAAATCATAGAACAGCCCAGGTTGGAAGCGACCTGAAAAGAACATCTGGTCCAATCTTTTGTGGGAAAGGGAGCCTAGATGAGATTATCTAGCCTCCTTGTCTTGAAAACCTGCAGTGATGGGGACTCTACCACATCCTTGAGCAGGTTGTTTCAGTGATTAAGAGGAACCTTGACAGGCTGGAGAAATGGACTGACTGTCTGGAAAGCAGCTTGGGAGACAATGACCTGGGGGTTCTGGTGAACACCGAGTTGATGATGAGCCAGCAAAGAGGGCCACCATCATCCTGGGCTACAGTAGGAAAAGTGTAGGTGACAGGTCAAGGGAGGTGATCCTTTCCCTCTGCTCTCCACTGGTGAGGACAAATCTGGAATGCTATGTCTGTTTCTGAGCTCACCAGTATAAGACAGACATGGACTTACTGGAACAAAGCCAGCATAGGTCTGCAAAAATTATTAAGGAATTGGAGAATTTGATACATAGGGAAGAGCTGAGAGATCTGAGGTTGTTCAACCTAGAGAAGAGAGGTTCCTGGAGGACCTTTTCAATGTACATAGATATCTGATGAGAGGAGGTAAAGAAGGCAGAGCCAGACCCTTCTTGGTGGCATCCAGTGAAAAGACAGGTGATAGCCACAAATTGAAATCCAGGAAATTCCATTTAAACATAAGAAAAAAATGCCATGGAGATTGTGGAGTCTCCATCTAAGAAGATATTCAAAGCCCAACTGGACGTGGCCCTGAACAACCTGCTTTAGTTGACCCTGCAGGGAGTTTGGACTAAAGGATCTCCACAGGTTTCTTCCAAACTCTTCCGTGCAGTGATTCTGTTTATATTTTGCCAATTGTTTTTCAAGCTGTATTTTTCTTAGGACATATTCAATCCCCTTAAAATATTCAATTTTTTTTTGTATGTATATGTTTTATAGGTATTCGAAGAAAGAAGAGCCCTGCTTGGAAAATGGGTAAACTTTTCTCTTAAAATATATATTTAAATATAGCTAGATTTCTGAACTGATAATGGGAAGGTATAACCTGTCCTATTTTGAAAGAGGGGCTCATTTTCATAAAAGTGAGCTGTGACCGCTCTACTTTTGAGGAAGGTAATGGTGTAAATTCCCTCCATGCCCACATTCTCTAAGCTCTGAACTTGGGAAATCGTATTTGATCATCAGAATGATCTGAAATGGGATAAGAGACCCTGGGAAAAGTCTGTGAAGTCTTCAAAGAAGATCCTGGATGTTTACGTATTGCCATTGCCTAGTAGCAGGTCTTTGAAACCTGTAATAAATGACACGTTATCTACCAAGAGCACACATATGGCTCCTAATTCTGTAATCATTGAGCACCTCGCCATTTCTTCCTGTCATTACCTTCATAGCTCCAACATGAGACAGGAAAGTGCTGTCACCCTGTTTTGCAGATGAAAAAATGAAGCGCAGAAAGACACGAGCTAGGATTTGTCTGCCCCAACCACAAATGACGGCGAGTTAGGGATTCGGGATGGGGTTTCTCCAGTCGGGTGTATATTACCTCTGAAACATAACATTTAAGCCTGGCTGGTTTGGTCATCGCAAGCTCCTTGTAGAGTCAACAGAGAGAAAGCGGTACTTCCAGAGGGTAATTCATCTGACTTAGTGTAGGATGAAAGATCAGCCCTCTAGAGATGCCTGTTTCTTTCCATAGCCTGTGAAGGGAGTCATAGCTGGCTGCTTGAAAGGAACACAACTCTAATTGACCTACCCAGGAAGCTGAGGGCAGAGGATGCAATGGCACAAGATTTGCCCTTGTCCTAAGCTCACCCCTTCAATATCTCATTGTGCTTTCTCTTTTATACGGAAAATCCATTTACAGGCCATTATGGGAAAGCAGCCGTGATCTGCTCAGTCTCCTGTGCAACCAGGAATGTAGACTCGGGGACTTTATTGCAATAAATGAGCGAAATCAGCTGAATGTATTAATGTGGCTCCGTAGTAGCGGTATGGTTGAGCCCTGTGCGCATCTTTGTAAATGGAACCAAAAAACCAGTTATGTGGTCACATATGATACACAAGCTAAACAGAAATATAGAAAGGATGCTCCTTACCAGCACTCTTGGATAAGGAGCATTTGCACGGTAACTTTACTTGAACTATGATGCTTATTCTTTATGTCTAATAGATTACTCTTGGAAATTTTTTGCATGTGAACTGGTCTTTACAGACAAGTATTTTGATTTTAAGCTCATAGGGATTCTTCATCTTTATAGGAAACATGCTTTCCATAACTTGCTGACATGCATGCATTTTGATAATAAGGAATTTCATGGACACTAAGTAAACAAAATAATTGAATTATTGTTCAAAAAACACTTTTTAGCATGACAGTCAGTAACTGACAGACCTAAAACCTGTCTCTTGAAAATTGTTGCATGTTTTAAAATGCCATGGGGATATACCGGTAAAAAGGGGCAAAAGTGTTTTCATTAGAACCTCCATTGAAAGAGCCAAAATCTGGAAACATCCTTTCTCCAAACACACATAAGAGTTCTGAATCATCTTCTGAAAGGTTAAATTTCTGACCCTTCATATGACACTAGATCAGCAGATCTCCTCATGCTCTTTCAGAGCTAATTCTCCATGCGCTTCTGTCATCCATCACACCAATGAAAAGGGTGCAGAAAGCACAAAAGTTGCTCTTAATTCGCTTCAAAGCCTGTGGCATTATAGTATGTGGTGAGCAAAGCCTAGAGCACTCTGAGTTTGAGAGAAACCGTGTCAAGAAATCACAGTGCTCTGGGCAGGACTCTTTACATTGATTCACATGACCTTCTCATAGTGCTCTCAGGAAGTATGGACTAGATGAAACTGCTGAAGGGTGGGTTTGTATGCCTGGGAACCCATACTCAGTGTGGTTGTAAATGCTTTGTATGAAAATAGAAAGCCGAAATCTGTCCTAAGTCCAGAACTGTTAAGTGTTTTCAGTAATATCTAGATGATGGAATGGAAAGTATGTACTCATCTGCAGATGATACCAGGCTTGGAGGGATTTTGGAAACTTTGGAGATTAGAAATCAGAATGAAAGGATCTGCAGTTTGATAAGGACAAGGGAGAAGTTCTGCATGTGAGAATGACATTTACAAAAACTACAGATCTGGGAAAACTCAAGTATGCAGCAGTTCTGCCTAAGAGGTTGCTGGGCATTATGGTGGATCACAAACTGAATATAAGCTGGCAGTGTCTTATAACTGTAATAAAGGGAAGTATCCCAAAGGGTTGTCTGAAATATCTGCAGCCTTGGTCCCTGCATTCTGGTGTCCCCACCATAAGAGAGACATAGATCTGTTGGAGCGTGTTCAGAGGAGGGCCACAAAGGTGATCCAGGGACTGGAGCACCTCTGCTATGAGGACAGGTTGCAGGAGCTGGGATTGTTCAGCATTGAAAAGAGAAGACTTCAGGGGGACCTAATAGCTGCCTTCCAATACCTGAAGGGAACCTACAGGAAGGCTGGGGAGGGACTTTTTACAAGAGTGTCCACTGATAGGACAAGGGGAAATGGGTTTAAGTTGAAGGAGAACAGATTTAGATTAGATCTTAGGAAGAAATTCTTCAGTACGAGGGTAGTAAGACTTTGGAATAAATTGCCCAGAGAAGTTGTGGATGCCCCCTCCCTGGAGGTGTTCAAGGCCAGGTTGGACAGAGCCTTGAGTAGCCTGATCTAGTTGAGAGGCTTCCCTGCCCATGACAAGGAGGTTGGATTAGATGATCTCTAAGGTCCCTTCCAGCCTATGCCATTCTATGATTCTATGATTTTGAGAAAGCTGAGGACCTAATGGAGATATTTCTGACGACAAGTCACATGTGAGAACAGACTCAGGTCCAGAAAATATGAAAACGATCCCTTTACTGTAGGGAAGAAGGAGAAAAGACGTAATAACTTCTTCCCAATGACACAGAAAAGATGTCTGAAAACAGAAAGGGAATGATCTGATCTCTGTGTTTGCATCGGCTAGGACAAGAAATCATGGGCTTGAATTGCAATGATGGAGACACAATTTAGACACCAGCAAAATTCAACACTACAGATAATTCACTGCTGGAATAGCTTGCCTAAGGGTCAGGGGTGGAATCTCCATCACTGAAATCTTTCGAGAACAGGTTAGACAAACACTTGTCAGGAACAGTTTAGGTAGAGCAGATCCTGCCTTGAGGCAGGAGATGAACTAGCTCAGTGCTTCTCAACCTTTTTGCACCGAAGGACCATCCAGCCTTCTGGGAAAGTAGAACAGGTTGCCTCGTGCGGCATTGCCACAGTGGTTTTCCTTTACAGCCAGATAAAGATTAAGTGCTCAGTATTTATTTTATTCTTCCTGAATTTATTTGCATGCATTCAGGGCCTATGTATGTGCATTTTCATTTAGTTATTTTTTTCCAGTTGTGCCACAAAACATCTTTGATGCCTCCCAGGCTGGTGTGGTCCATAAAATACAGGTTGAGAAACAATGCACTAGCTGACCTGAAGGGATTTCTCTTCTCTGTTTCTGCGCTGCTGGGCAGCCCCAAAGGGCATGGGACTGGCTGTGCTGTCACCTGCAGTATCCGAGATGCACAATGGGAACCTCTACAATTTTTTGGCTGTCTCAGATTGTGCTCAGCTCTGCAAAATATTATTGCTGCGCAGAGTGTAAGCAGCGATGATGTGCGGCGAAAGGAGACTCTCTGTGTTACACGGCTGTTCTTGTGCATGACTGTTTGCAGGCTTTGATTCTGCCAGAGGCATTTGCGATGAATTTCCTTCACACCAACAACTTTACCCAAATACTATCCAGAGACGTATAAAAGAGAAACTGTGCTGCTCTCTTTCAGTTGAAACCCTTTTGATGGTTAAACTGGGAAAGGGTTAACATCCCTCTGTTAATTGTTCTGGTTTGTTCTAGTTGCTTTTATTCTGTATTGCACACAGGGCAGATGCCTTGATGTGCTGCCTCCCTTTCTGCTGTGTTCTGCAAGCCAAAACTTCCTCCCAGTAATTTAAAAAACATAAAAGCATTTCGCTCTGCCTTAATGCTCAGTGCTATCATGCTGACACTCAGGTTAATAAGGTGACAATGAAGCTAGGGTTGAACTTGTAGATTAAGACACCCAAGCTTCAGTGTCTGCAGGTGATCTGAGCATCTCAGCTTCCGTTATAGCCCAATGAGATGTAGAGAAGTCAGGGGAGCCCACACAGTGATTCAGCTCATCTTCTGTGATGCTGTGGGCTACATCTTCTGCTGGTAATTTACACAGCACATCTTGCTCATCCACACTATGAAATTGTTAGCACGCTCCCTGGCACAAATTTGGCCTGGGTTGGTACCACTCTGCCAGATGTTGTTCAAGCACGATTTGGACATTAGCCTGGGCCAGGAACCGTGTCAAATATACAGTTTTGATCCAGCCACCTTGTTTTGAAGAGTGAGAGATATGATGCAGAGGTTCCCAACATAAGGACATGGAGCTGTTGGAATGGGTCCAGAGGAGGGCCACAAAGATGATCCAAGAGCTGGAGCACCTCTTCTATGAAGACAGGCTGAGAGAGTTGGGGTTGTTCAGCCTGGAGAAGAGAAGGCTCAGAGGAGACCTTCGAGCAGCCTTCCAGTACCTAACGGGGCTACAAGAAAGCTGGAGAGGGACTTTGGACAAGGGCGTGTAGTGACAGGACACAAGGCAATGGCTTTAAACTGAAAGAGGGGAGATTTTGATGAGATCTAAGGAAGAAATTTTTTACAGTGAGGGTGGTGAGGCACTGGCATAGGTTGCCCAGAGGAGTTGTGGCTGTCCCATCCCTGGAAGTGTTCAAGGCCAGGTTGGATGAGGCTTTGAGCAACCTGGTGTAGGGGAGGGTGTCCCTGCCCATGGCAGGGGTGTTGGAACTGGATGATCTTGAAGGTCCCTTCCAACTCAAACCATTCTATGATTCTGTGATTCTATGACTTGCAGACAACTGTCACCCTTGGAGTGGCAGCTCTAGGCTTTGCAGGATACTCCACAGCAAAGGGCGCTCGTGTTTGGGCAGCAGAACTCCATCCCTAATCACAGCAGACCCCCACCTATAGACACCTCTTTACCCAGGAGCTGACCCCATGCTAGGTGCCAAGGTCCAGGAGCAATGGCTCCAGCTCAGAGGTGCTTCTTGTCACCAGGCTGCTGGCTTCCCTTCCTCAGCAGTCTTCCCAGGAGTCTACTCTTGCAAAATTTCAGGTTTAATTGTTTAACTACAGTGGTGAAAGCAGAAAAAAAAGAACAGATCCTAGTGGCTAGTTGCTAATCGCTGACAAGGAGCAGCTTGGCAGCAGAGATGTTTAGGATTTTGTGGGATAGACTGGTATATCTTATGAATAACAGGTGCCTGTCTGCTTCATCTCTTCTCTTCTCACCCAGGTCCTGAGTCTCCAACAAAACCCCTCATCAGAAATGTGAGAAGATGGCTGGGGAGGGAGGGGAAAATTGCTTCTCCCTGGGTGAATCATCTCCATCCTCTTGCAAGCCATTCTGCAAAAGAGCCTCATTGACTGGAGAATTCGGTCCTACGTTTGCAGAGCACAGGGATGCCTGCGTGTGGCTGTAACCCTGTGAACTCATGTCGACACGCTGGTTTGGAGATGAGGATTACGTCCCATTTCAGTGGGTAGTTCAAGTCAGTAAAATAACCCGGCTCCTACAGCAGAGAGGGGAAAAAAAACAGCAGCAAAGCCTCTGGATTTTGGCGCTGAGGTCCTGGGCTCTCCCCTTAGTGTCAGGCTGCGTTATTTGTGTGTGTGCACTCATGGATTAATTGTAAACTGATCGCAGGAGGAAGGACCGAGCCCTCTGCATTGCCAGCGTAGCCTTATGTCATACAGTCCCTGGGGAGTCATTGTTCGCCAGGGCTCAGAGAAAGGCACAGAAAAGGGAGAAAAAAACTCCAAACCAACCAAAAAATGTTCCTTGCTGCAGGTAGAGAAGGTGCAGCACCTAGAAAAGGGGAATCCGGTCCAACTGGTTGGGTTACTGTAATCAGATGCAAGGGGAGGAACTGTGGAGAAAGGCAGCCAAATGTAGCATGGGGACATGCTTGTTAATACTGGAAAAGAGACAAATTATGCCTGCTTAACTACTTGGCTGCTGCTGAATGCAGTGGAGAAGAAGCTGCGGGTTCCCATGCGCTTGGCTGCATGGTGCTGGTTTAAATGGAGTTTCCTTTGCAGTGTAAGCACAGGCTGAGGATGCTGGAAGTAATTGCTTTATTGCAAAACCAGTGGCAGAACAGAAAGAGTTAAATAGGAGCAAATATTCGCTCTCTTCTAAAGAGAAGTTAGATTCGCTTTGATTAATTCACTTAAATCTCTTGGTGTGGAAGTGAGCAAGCAAGTTACCTCCTTGTCTCTGGAGCCTATTGGGAGAAATTTGTCTTTGCAAATGAGCGATTGCGGATTGTTTTAATGAGAAGAGGATGTAGCTGCGATCATGAATGGGAAGTGTGCGCAGCAGAAGCTTCCCCCCTTCACCATGTGCTGGAGAAAACCTTTCATAGCGAGCTGAGGGTGAGAAGGGGACAGGCAGAACCTCCTGGTACACCTCTATCTGATTTTATCCTTGTTTCTAAGCCCTAAATCCAAAGGTCCTGCTTCAGTTTTTCCTTAGTACTCTGCTAAACATCATTAGAGGAGAAAGTTATATGGAAAATGGGGATGGGAGGGAAAGGGTGTATTCCTTAATTCACTGGCTGTGGCTGAAAAGACACGGACATTTGGGAGCTTTCTTCGATTTAGCTTATTGTCTCCGGGATCTCAGGAATG